CCATTTCACATTCGCTTTATCTGAACGACTGTCTCTTTTAGTTCAATTAGAAAGAATTTCAATGCAAGCTTAATTCACATAAGCTCCATACGAGACCGTTTGAGATTAGAGAAGACACGTTTTTACGGCAAAACGAAAATGTAAAAGTGTTCAAACAGCTAGATAAATACGGCTATATTGATSTTGATTTGGTCGAGGTTTCAAGTTTTGAAGTGTTTGAATAGTTAAACTGGTTCTCCTCGGGATGAATTTGTAAGAGAACTAATTAATAGTATTCACTTTTTCAGTCACTTTTTAAGGTGGGGCGGCAGAGGCTTTTTTTTTGTTTGAAAGCGGTGGAGGAGGTGTTGATCGTAGTTCACATCACTTCTTCAGTTGTAGTTGATGTACAGATAATATTCAATTTTATAATGGCACAAGACCGCGAAAGCTTTAGCTATAGATTRTTCTAGTGTAAAATTGAAAACAAGCGATATAATTATCTGAAATTCCACCTAAACACACAATTATAGTTCCAGTCGCTTCAAACTCATTAACTTAGACCTTATCCATTTTATATCAGCTTTAGTCAACTTTTTTTTAACATCTCGAAGTCAGATATAAAGCAATTTAAAGTCTTAATTATCTTCATACGAAGAACTCTCGACGTCATTTGCCAGAAAATTCAGTGTCTTTTAATTTAATAGTTGACTCAATGCTTTTTCTTTCCGACAGTATATTAATTTGGTTTAACGGGAGAAAGTATAGTTGGTAATATGGTTGTTTTTCTATGTTTTTTTGTGTGTTCTTTTCATATTTTCTAGGTCTTTCGGCGCCAATTGTAAGAATAAAGATTTAAAAAAATTTGTTTCTTAAGTATAAATTTTCTTTGGCTTTGTGAAATAAGTAAATATCAAAACCGAAAGATTCTCAAGACAACAAGAAAATGACATGCATAGCAATAGCTGTTTAAATGTTTCAAATATTCATGGAAAATCTCACTGACATACAACTTCTTATTCGACGCATTATTTGCACACTTCTCGCCGTTAGACGTCAATTCTTTTCCAATATTTACATTCGGTTAGGAAGCTTTGTTGAAATAGCAAATAACAATAGACAAATAACACAAATCAATATTTTACTAGTGTTTTTCGACCTTGAATTAATCGCAGAGTAAGTTTAAAATCCTGATCAGTTTAGCGACTGAGYATAAATTTCRCTCATCCYTTCTTAGTTATTTGCGGCTTATGGCATTTAGTGCGACTCGTGAGCGATGGTTYGTTGCATGGGSTCTTGAAAATATGAATTTTAAATTATRAATTTTACCTTTTCGATATCAATTRTACAGATAAAACCAACGCGATATTATTTTATCTGTAACAATGCAAACATCAAGTAAATCAGTGAAAATATACAGAAAGATGTCATTTCATCTATGAAGTTTCCCCCTTTTCATGAAGATCGCCTTATTTTTCAAGTTTTACTTAATGAATACAAATTGAACAGTTGTATAAAAAGATAAATTTAACACTGTAAAAAAGTTACAATTAGGTGAAGTAACTTACTGACGTTTCGGACGTTAATCTTTTTGCTTTACTCCGACAAAGGATTAACGTCCGAAACGTCAGTAAGTTATTTCCCCTATTTTTTTTTACGGTGTTAAATTTATCTTTTTACACAATTATTGTTTCTTTAGAAACACCGACGCAGCTCATACTAGTTACTGCTAGTTTCCACCATTACAAATAGAACAGCTTTATGCTTACTTTCTGTTGACAGTCAGCCACAGGTTCAATGTTGAATACCATCGCGTGTTACAAAACCTTTAAATGCTTAAACAAAGAATAGCTTACAGAATAKAACGCCTTTGCTGTTCGTGCAGCTTGGCACAATAGCTTCTTGGCAGTTTTCCAGCCAGTGAGAGAGCTGTTAATTACGTAATACAATGATATTTTCCCAAAATATTATGCCGCGGTCACTTTGAATTGCATTACATACCTAATTGAAAAAAAAAACGTCGTCGTGTTCCATATGGTTACCATATCAACGCTACGACCGAAAGGCAGCATTGGAAAACAAATATGAGTAAAACAGTGTTTCAATGCCAAGATTACCTGCGCTGAATAAAATGACTTTCTCTCCAGCTAGTAATGACATTTAAAAATAACATTTCGGGAAAATATTATTGTGTTATGTAATTCCAGTGCGGGAAAACTGYCAAGAATCTAGTGTGCCAAGCTACACGAACAGCAAAGGAGTTATATTCTCGAGGTCGATTGGACTACGAGCTGATAGCACATTAGGCTGAATGGCCTATTAGTTCGTAGTTCACCGAGGCCGAGGGGTCTATAATTGTTTAATAGCTGTAATGTTATATAGTTAGCGAAATATGATTTGAATTTCTTAAAATTCCTTTTTGTGTTATAGATTCGRTGATATCACCTTTTAGCGAATCGACGTTATTTCAATCTAGTGTGTATATAGTCAATATTGATAGCTTTAATCCACCTCAAAGTYAAGAATTAAAATGCGTAGCATCCAGAACATTCATCGACGTCATCAAAGTCATACTACTGAAGATGACGTAACATCCGGTAAAAGTCAATAGTTGCTCAAGGAAAACGGTTTTCGTCAGAAAAATCACGAAAGAATGTTCTGGTAGCGGTAATACTGCAGAATTTCAGTGGACAGAATAAGAGTGACTTTTAAAGTGTTGAAATAGTTCCGAAATGGCGACGCACTTTTTCTCACWATATTGCCTATGGGAATTAAGTTAATGAGTTGAAACCTGTTTTTCCATTTAGAACATCCACTAATACAGAATCTGATAGGATAGCTACAAGCACTTAGTCACTTAGGCATGAAGTGTTGTTGAACTAAATTAAGCCAATGAACTTTTTTAACTTATGGTTAGGGTTAATATTGGTAAAGTTCCGATACTCATGAAGGGACTATTTTTAAAAGTTACAAGTGGGTTTGAAGTTATTATTGGTAGTCTGCGTTAGTAGCGACTAATAATATTTTTCCAGAAAAAAAAAACAACAAGTCCATTGGTTTAGTAAATATCTTCTCTTTCTTAACTTATCCATATCACAAAACTGTTTCATAGCCCGAGTGAAAACAACTCGTAGTTGTGTTTTTTTGTTTTTTCATTTCTATATATTTTTAGTGTTTTTCGTCCTTTTTAAATTAGCAAGTGTTGAAAGTTAAAACTTGCTACTTATACGTCAAAATAAAATGCAATATGACGTTAGGAGCTGGGAAATTGTACGGTTGAAAAGACATTGTGATGTCTATATTTRTATCAACCATGAATTCATTACACTGCATCACACAAAATTCACTAAACGATTTTCAAATTACAAAGTGTTGAATAAACTGAACCTCCCGTGCTTTTTTATCGTTTTTGCATCAAAAATATCACCTCTATAGTGCAAACGAAACTACATAATGTCAATAGTAATGCATATTAATAAAACTCTTGAGATCGAAGAACTAAGCATTTGTATTAAAAAGATACCTAGAAATAATTATACTCAGTTGCCTGTTTCAGAGAGGATACTTGTCTAAAATACTCCCAGTCGTATGTTCTAGACATCATTTCAGCTTTTTTTAAAAAAGTTTAGTAGAAGTAAATTAATTCCATGTCATAATAACGTGTTTGTGTTCGAATAATYCAGATATAAACCCCTAAACACAGAAGGATTATCAAACGGTGATTATTTCCTATACCGAAACAATATGAATCTCTTGCAGTGATAGAAATCAACTTACCTTTTCGCTTATCAACCYCRTGCAGCGCTTGTTTTCAGATTTGGAGTAAGAATTTGATAAACGGCTTAAGATATGTGCATATGTCCCGCTCTAGTTCCTTTTTGACGAAAATAACATGCCTTCGATGCCTTTAATATTGCACTTACAATTAACCCCTACCCTTCCCCCGTTAGAAGCAGAAACGGAAGTCATATTATGCTCTTTATTTAATGTCATCATAATACCATTTTCATATTAGAATATTTTGTATATAATATGCTTACAGCCTTTTGCACAAATTATGAGACACTTTTATATATATAAATATACCTAACCAAATATCAAAAACACCCAAGAAATTATAGGATACCGTCTCTGATATTTTGTCTGTAACAACCTGATGCTAGGCAATCATGACAAAATATAATAGAGATATCCCATAATTTCTGGGGTGTTTTTGATATTTGGTTAGGTATATTTATATATATAAAAATGTCTCATAATTTGTGCAAAAGGCTGTATCTACTCTAATATTGAATACACACAACTACGAGGAATGTTGCAAGGTGCACGAGGGAAAGAACTTAAAACCTTGTAGCTGACGGCCCAGTCGGTACAGATTCTCACTCTAGCTCATGATGTGGAAGAATATGCTTGGACCACAGTGAGAGATTTTGCCTTTAGGGTATATCACTTGGCAGAATTGTCGTGAGCACTTTCCGGTAGCCRCATTGATATTCTTTGTTTCTGTTATGTGACAAAGTCGTGTGAAACAATGTRAAATAACTTTTAAGTTAAAACATTGGAAATCAGTCAATCTAGACTAGGTTATGTCAACATTTGCAATCAAAGGAAATAAAAATGAARCTAAATRTATCATTATTTAATTGTCRAAYAAGRAAAAAGGTTTGAATTWYTRCTTTTTTCTTTATTAAACTATGACTCATWTTGTATTTATAGCATCGGTTTTGCTTGGTTGCCTTCCTAAATTATAATATGGATTTTGGGATTTTTTTTAGACCATTTCATGAATGTAGAGATATATTCGAGAAGAACCTTTACAACTAAATACTAATAGACTCTGTGCCAAAATGAACCTAGCATAGAGTGCACGTCACATAAGCATGAAACAATTCTTAATATGTATTGCTAAATAAGATTTAGTTATCAACTAACTAAGAATTCAACAAAGCATAAACACAACGCCAATTATTTAAATTCCTTTGTAGCATTGTTCTCAATTCTTAGTTGATAACGTTAGCACTACATAGTTAAATAATTGTTTCATGCTTATGTGACTTGCACTCTAATTGTTTATCAGCCTGATGCAAAATGAACCTAAAATACTTAAGTATATACCTAAATTTTAAAACCTGTCTAAGATTGTAATAGTTCCAATAAAAAAAAGTTTTACAGATATTTTATATCTATTATAGATAATACATTTTTTTTTGGCTATTTTGCGAGACCTTTCTGTTTGTTTGTACATGTTGTTGTTATGCATTAAGGCACACATTTGATGCCAACGTCTTCATTATGTCTGCAGTCATGAGAACCCCAATGATCATGGCTGCAGTCTTGTACTCTTCTCTCGTTACCAGTACACACAACACTATCAAGCAAGATAGCTCCAGACCCCTCGCCAAATTCCTTTGTGTTGAAAGCCTGGACACCGCTGAAACCCAGCTGCCTACAAGCGACAGTGGCASCGTTCGGGTTGAGATCCCATAGGTCATCACAGACTGTACCCCATTGACCATTATGATAGATTTCGATACGTCCTTCGTTGCTTTTGGATGATCCCACAAGACGTATTTCATCTGAGGTTTAAAAGTGAAAATGATAATGTGACAAAGGTTTATATATGTTAAAGTGAGCAATAAAGCAAGACAACGATCTGAACAAAACAATCAACCAAAGAACACAATTTCAAACAACCGATTCGCCTTATGGAAGTAGCCAACCAATGAACCAACCCAATGCAACAACAACCAACTACAAGCAATTGCTACCAAGCAGTCAAGGTGGAAGATGACCAAAACTCAAAGTCACGATGAAAGCCACCAGTCAATGAATCTGAAACCCAACGTCGTGATTATAATGTATGTGTTGGTTGATAAACCAATTGGATTTACACTGGAAAAAATCGCGCGCCATAAAGGTTGTAAATTTGATGTATATATGATGTAAGTGTCCAAAATGATGTAAATTTGATGTAAATCATTTCCATCAAATTTACATCATTTTGGATACTTACACCATATTTCCATCAAATTTACAACCTTTATGGCGCGCGATTTTTTCCAGTAATTACTTTTAAAAGAACAAGAAATCGTTCAGACGAAGATATAGCATTGTGCTGTTTTTATCTTTGCCTCCTTAGTTTGTTTGGTAGTCTTCTCCGTGGCTGCGTAAACAAGCATTCTCMTTCGTTTAGTCAGCCACTCAACACCATTTCCACTGAACCAACCGTTTACATGGTGAAGCAAGTAACTATGAACGACCGCTCGCCATTTTATTGGCTAAGAAAACTTACATGTCTGGCATCGGTCCCCATGATATCCCATGAGGCATTGGCAGCTAAAGTCTTGTTGATTGGAATGGTTAATGCATGTCCCTCCATTCAAACAAAAGTTCGCAACCTCACAAGGTGTCTCGAAAAAAAAAATCAAATATTGATCCTATTTTATTTTTTTTCTGATAATAAAGTTAGAACTGTTGTCGTTGGTCTTTTGATATTGAGACAAGGTGATTGATGCAATAACACTAACTATTCAAAGCGATGATRGGAATAATTTTAGTCTTTCAAGATTTATTGGGGAAAAATCGCTGTGTTATTCAACCATTATACCTCTTGGGGCAGTAGTGCAAATAAGTGTCTRCAGATACCGACAAAAATATTTGTATTACAGTAAATAAATGGTTGAACTTGATTGTCGAAATATTGCAAAGGACTGAGTTTCTTACTTCAATGAARGTTACAATACCTTAAACCCGATAAGTGTAATTTTCCAGTTAAATTTTGTTTTAATTTTCTAAYCTATAAAATTCATGAAATTCGCCATTTAAGCTTACCATTCTTGTGTAGTGGCTGTAGTTGGCAGATTTCTCCAAAGRTGCCTTTATCTCATTTGGTGCGCGTCCGTTGAGCAAAACACAGTCATAACCCGATCCATCTTCATTTTCTGTGACCGCCAGGTTCAATGACTTACAATCCGGCACAAGCCGATTGCATGTTATGAAGCACTCTAAATTACTTTTCACTGTTATGATACTGATAACTGTCGCTTCCAAGCGATGAAACTCAATGCACTTAAAATATGTTGATATGCTCTGCGTTGAACAATTTTGAAAAACAAGAGCTAGTGCAAGGTAGAAAAGTCTGAAAATCCAAGTCATGTCTGCTATMTTGAGAAGGCTACAAAAGAAACGCGTACATGACATTATATTTTGGTCTAATGAAGGCTAATGGAAGCAAGATATATCTTAAATATTGCACTAATTGGTAAAATGATGTTTTTCCGTTGACCTAAAAATTACCATTATGAAGCCAGTACAACAGAACACTGATAATTTTTCTATGAAAGGAATTATAATATAAGCTAACATCTCCTGCCAAGATATTTGTTTTATTCGTACTCRGGAATGTTCACATATGTTTTCTGTGTTATTTATACAAATAAAACACAAGCATATGTAATCAGTGAAGTGCTCTGAAAAAAAAACGAACCTTATAGCAATCTTAAGTAGAAACAGTTAAGATATATTTTTATAATCCAAAGTCTAATTTTTCTATTTTTTTGTTCTTTTTCGTTAATTATTATATTTTTCTCAAATAAAAAAAGTGTCAAAAAAGTTATATTTCAAAAGCCTTTATAAATAGTCACATTTTAAACTTCACGCCAAAGGAGGGTTAACGAAACGTAAGTAAGTTATTTCACCTACTTTTTACGATTTATCTTTTTTTAACTTTAGAAACAYCGACGCAGCTAATACTACTTTACCTCTAGTTTTATGATATCCAAACTTCATCTTCGCTTAAGCACAACGCTTGTCGTATAAATGTGGTCGTTTTTTCATTTTTTTATATCCTACAATTTCAAAAGATACTAAAATAAACTGGAAGCATCAAATTAAAACTTTGTCCTTTCATCCCACAGCTTAATTTAAATGGCGTTTATAAGCGACCGCTGTCGGTCTGGCTGAGAACTGTTGGATTCCTTTTGATCGCACCTCTGCGCCTAATATACAATTGATTTTAAGTACTAATATATCAAATAAAGTTTTAAAATGAAAAAAAAAACGTTATACAAATATAATAAAGAGAATAAGGGAAATACCACGTAGGGGTTTTTCATTGATTTAAGAACTGAAATAAGAGAGGTTTATGTACATCTAAAAATGGTAATAAAAGACTAAAAAAGTGGAATCATTAAAAAAAGCGAAAGGTATTCATTCCAAATAAGAGAATACGATATTTTATATTTAAAAGGGAAATACCACGTAGGGGTTTTTCATTGATTTAAGAACTGAAATGTGAAAGAAGAGAAGCTTATGTACATCTAAAAATGGTAGTAAAAGAAGAGGTATCATTAAAAAAAGCGAAAGGTATTCATTCCAAATAAGAGAGTACGATATTTTATATTTAAAAAGAGAGATTTCACTAAATGAATTGTTGAATGAATAAATAAATGAATGTTTTGTGGATAAATGGCCAAATGGATGTCTGCATGAATGAGACAATGAATGAATTGTTGAATGAATAAATAAATGAATGTTTTGTGGATAAATGACTAAATGGATGTGTGCATGAATGAGTCAATGCTTGATGGTAGGAAGTAATCATCTTAAAATGTTAAAGAAATTTAAAAATGCAAAACTATTGTTCATATGTATATTTATTCTAATAAACTAACTTTGTTTGACTGTTTTCGATTTGAATTACATTTAAACTCTCAATGAGTCAGACTAGTCATAACTATTCTACATCGTATTGTTCGTCTATACACCCTTTTAATAAGTCCCGAGGTATTGTGTTCTCCGCACTTGACGTCAAATTTATTCTTTTGAAATTTTKACAATACAAAAGGAATTCAAAAGAATATATTTGACGTCAAGTGCGRAGAACAAAATACCTTGGGACTTATTAAAAGGGTGTATATAGGCTAAATTGTTATCAACTGTATCTTATGTGCCTAAGCTGAACCCTTTCATACTGGCTTGTCAATCAATCCTTGTCGCGACCGTTGATTGGCTAATGGACTAATCTACAATTTAAYTAACTCGCATCGTTTGTTTGTCTTTTTGTCTTTTTCGATTTATCGACAGTTGCATAAATCACATTTGGTTTTCCCGATGTCGTCTTGTTTGGATCATTTGTATCAACACGTGCATCATTGGTGGTATACCACGTTGCACTGCTTCCGCCCTCTGTAGTATGGTCACGTGACTTGGCACCCCAAGTCTGACTCCTTGATGACMTTGAATTGTCCTCGGCAACGCTATTGCCACTGAGAAGTACGCTTGGGTGCGCTGTGTTTGATCTGTGACGACTTAACGGTACAGGTCTGCCAGAGCGTGCCTGATTGGCAGAATTTGTYTTTGTTTTATGTATACTGGAGTAGACAACAGTATCAGTTTTATCATCCGGTACTTTTTCGGTTTGGTTTTTGCTAATGGCTGTTTCGCTAGATTCTTCCTCAGAAACAACAACTGCATCATCGTCAAGAAGTCTTGTTGTCGATGAAGTCTTATGAACTTCAGCATAAATGACTGGAGTTTTTTCTTCAAACTCGTTGCACTTCTCGCTTTCCTGTTGAGCAGTAATATGCATGCTGTTCTCAGGCTGCTCGCTTGGACCATCGACAGGAGAAGAAGACCAGTTTTGTGCGACAAGCTCGATGCTTTCCGTCTGAATGTTGTCTTCTAMGTACCACTGAACTCTATGTGAACTGCTGTAGGGAACTGTACTTGATGTAGTATCGGAAGGTATGGATCTGTAYAGCTTTCTGTTGAGATCAATAAAGTAATGGATAGTGATAGAATACAGCCCCTTGTAATGTACAGGAAAAGTAATAAGAATTCTGAACCACCGAAAAAACTATGCATTAACAGGAACAGTAACAGTGGTGACAGCAAAATGAAGTGTAACAACAGAAACAGCAAATATTCCTGGCAGCAACAAGAATAAAACAACAACAGCAATTACAAGGGAACAAAGAAACAAACTAAATAACAACAACAACAACAAATGCAATAACAATAGCAACCAAAACAACAATGAAATAAATGTACTGACAACGATGGTGTTAAATTATACCATCAGTCACAAGTGTTTTTTCTTATTCCCAAATAGCAGCCATTTCTTCATCTAAATAGTTTTCCAATGAATGGTCACAAACCAAGATGGTATCCGAGCAACAACAATGACAATAATTTAACTACAGCACAAGTACCAGCGATACAAAACCAACACAAAAATAGGCATTCGCAGGAACAGTGGTGACAGCAAAATCAAGGACAACAATAATAAACCTGTAGCAACAGAAAAAAATTTGTCAGGATAGTAGGGTTGAGTGGTCAGTACTTACTCTTGTTCTTCCCTTCCACCACCGTCGTAACCTGTTATTCATGAAAAACATCAAGTTGTGTATTTGAATTTATATTATAGCTCAATTTTTAGACGCGAGATGATTGGCGGATTTCATGAGAAAAGCTATGGTTTCTTTCGCCGGTAAACCAGCCTCCTGTCTGGAAAGACTTTTGAGTCTAAATGACGGATATCGGTCCAAATTTTCTGTTATAATATAAAAGCAATAAACTATAGCTTGAAGGGGTTTACTGGCGAAATAAACTGAGCAGGATATTTGGGAGAAGACGAGAAAGATATGTAAGGCCTTTTCGAGTGTTCTTCCAACTATCCCAAGCGTTTTTTTCGCCAGTAAACCGCTTTAAGCTATCGTGAATTGCTTAATTACGAGCATCCTGTGACTCAGTTGGGGAACCCTGGTTATAAACCAGTTAATAGCTCATGAAAGTAGTATTACCTGGATTATAGACACACCAGCAAAACACGTATATGAAGGTTAAAGTACAAACTAACAAAACGAATCCAAAAATCACCACAAAGATAAGCAGGCCAATCTTGTCTGAGATYAATGGCGGGGCTGTTGTATCCAGTGATTTTGTTGTGGTTGGTACTGAATGAAAAGAAATCTTCCTGTAATTCCGAATTATGACTAAATAAATATTGCAATTATCAATGTAAAATAATTACGGGGACGAAGCAAGGAGAATAGTGGAGGGTGTAAATACTTTGCTACTTAGATGTACCATACTTACCTATTCGTGTAGCTGTATGGTTAACATAAACTGGTTTCGATACTTCATACTGTTGTGAGTCGTTGCCATGGCAGTAAAAGTACCTGGAGCCAACCCTTCTACACATGTCTCTTCCTTAAAAGATTAAAAGATACGAAGATGCTAGCTTGGGACAATTCCGACAGCATTCAAATAGAAAATTAAAAAAACCCGGCGTTTTTGACTTACTGATATCATATTCGCAAATAAATGTTCTGTTGGAATCGCATGGCATGTCTTTGAACAGACCCTGCGTCCCAGCAGGGCAGTTCTTTGCCATAGCAGCGCATTTTCCATCCTTGTGAGGTTGTCCTACTGTTTTCTGCCATTTATCAATCTTAAGCAACGACCCACTTTTCCATTGCCATCTCCTGCCTTTGTCTTTCCTCAGGCCAATCCACCACTCGTTTTCGCTGAAGTTCCTCATTTGGATTTTTGCGTTGACAAATTCCCATTCTCTCTGCGTTTCTATAGACACGAGGTTGCCATGGCTTTTAATACATTGTTCTTGAGCTAAGTTCCATGATTTTCCCTTCCATGAAAAGAAACTATAGCAAGAACAATTGCTTGCTGAAGAACGTGTGAAATGAAATCTGAATTAGTTAATTCATTAAAATGAATTACAAAATTACAGGAAACTGTATTCAAATGATACTAAGATAGGATATTTTCGCCTCTGTGTCTTGTGAAAGGGAAAGTTCGCATAAAGTTTTCATAATGAGTATTTTAGTATGAAGCGATCCACCTTTTGACAATTCGCCAAATCCACAGTATATCGTGAACTAACAAACGCATGTGATATCACACATTCGTGTTAGATCTTCTATAACCACAAATTTGTTTTATCATGAATTGATTAGCAATATATTATCTAGTTATAGATATCAGTGAAGTGTGATCGAGAAACAACACTAGCTTGTTAATTCACAAGACCTTGATCTTTTTGAAGATTTTTTTTCCGACTTACCCATGAAAACATTAAGAAGTTTTTTTCCAAGTTTTTTTTTGGTTTTGAAGAATAGAAATCATTGAAATGACAGGAATATCAAATTATTATAAACATACCATTATTGAGATTAGAGTTGTCAGCAGCTCCGCAATCAATCCACAATAATAAGGAACAGAGCAACAAAATCATTCCTCATTTAAAGGGAATCAATCAACTTCGATTTACAAAGAGCATTTTGTTTCTTTATAAGATTAATCACGAGTTGTCTGGTACTGGGTCACTGATAAATCGAGCCTTTGTAAACAATATATTTTGATTGTATTGAAAAATGTGTATTTCACTTTAAAACCACATTTCAGTTTCGTACTTGACTCTTCTTTATCAGCGCCATACACCATATATGGATATGGGTCGGTGATTGACAGATAGGATATCGGTATTGGTAAAAGAAGTTCCTTTTAGAAATACCAAACTGAATTATAACCATTTGACTATAGTATTTTGAATACTGAGCTTTTCGTCAAAGTAATGCAACACGATTAATGTGAATGTAATAATGTTTATTTATCTACGAGTATAATAACATCACAAACTAGCATATCTATTTCATTTAGTTTGTTCACGAGTTTCAGCATCAAAAACCGACAATCTGTCATTAGAAAATATTACTAATTTCTTGTGATGATTTGTTATTAAAATAACATGTGCACAATCAAGCAATCAAGCAATCTGATGCTTTGAGTTTTGCACTGAATAAAGTTCATCATCTTGAGAGAGAAGAAAAAAATGACCCTGGACAATGCCAGATCAAGTCTCTGCGGTATAAGTGATGAGTAACTCTTGGCTTCCCAAGCTGTGGAGAAAAATTAGGAAATTTGAATAAATTAACGTAGTATACTATACGATATGAAATCACAGTACGTGGTACTATACGATATGAAATCACATTACGTGGTACTATACGATATGAAATCACATTACGTGGTACTATACGATATGAAATCACATTACGTGGTACTATACGATATAAAATCACATTACGTGGTACTATACGATATGAAATCACATTTTTGTACTATTTGTTTATTCATTTATTGTAACAAACACAAAAGAAGATGAAATCTAACACATATTATTTGCTTCAAAAGGTCTTTCTGCACAAAAGATCCGCATTTCCCCTGGACTCCTACTGATAGAGCGGATTTCGTATGAGTGGGAAACGGACGGTACTGTACTGTGACCGTAATCGTACTGTAACAAATTCTAGTGCCCCATTGGTTCACCAAAATTGTGCAGGCCAGGTTCGGTAACTGTGCGGTAACCGTGCGGTAACGGTGTCCCACTCATACGAAATCCGCCCTATATGCACTTAGTACGGTACGATTGTTTGAATGTATAAATTTTAAAACGAATGGATGAGAGAATAGAAGATGGATGAAATATGCATAAAAATATGAATGGTTAAAATGAGCAGCGTTAACATCTCCTTTTTCCCTTATCAGTCAATCGTATGACTTTTTTTTCCCACTCATTATGCCTGTCTGGAGAAGGTGTCCGGTAGTCGTCCATGGTGTCGTAGGTGATGTGAAAGTTACTGGACTTGCTATTGTCGTTTTTTTCTTTCTCGAAGTTTGAGCTTCTAAAAAAAGACAATAATCTGAGCGTAAAATGAACAATCTCAGCTCTTGAAGTTTAATTCAATATTTGATGAAGATAGAAATACCTGTGTCTGCATTTATTGCTGATGATTTTGTGATCAATAGTGCAACTTTCGTAAGTGCCTGCTATCAATTTGATATAATTGGCAATTTTAAGGAAATATTCAGCAGTGTAATATGGAAGAACTATCAAAATAAGTAGCTGTGCAAAGCTATGGACTAAATACTAACGAAGTTATGGAGAAATAAAATTGCATAGCCTACTTAAGCAGTCGCCCCTGTGTCGTCGCGCAACGCTCCGTGGAGTAGTGTTGCATGACGACACTTGGACGGCTGCTAAAGTAGGCTAAAAAAATGCAAGGATTTGCATTGGGCTTTGGTAGCCAGTATTTTGTGTTTTTGTGTCTCTTCTAACCCTTATGACGTCCAGAGGACGTCCATAAGCTATCCTCTATCTACATTTATCAATATAATCTCGAAATTTAATAAATGGCATAACGCTTCGTGGCCGGTGTATGATTTCAATCTTTGATCACGTGAAAACTTATAAATTAGTCCTAAAGAGACAAGTATTCTTTCAATTCGATGAACAAATATTTATTTTTTGAGAAGGAGGACGGTGCATAGGAAGTGGAGGATGGATGCTCTGTGCTAAGATGACCTCGGTCAGTTTCGTCCATCTGGATTATTTGCTTATCATTTTTGCAGTGTTGGAATTTCCTTCTTAGAGATAGACAAAGTACCATACTTACCTTTTCGTGTAGCTGTATTGTTAACATAGATTGGTTTGGATACTTCATACTGTTGTGAGTCGTTGCCATGGCAGTAAACGTACCTGGAACTAATCCATCTACACATGTCTCTTCCTTAAAAGATTAAAAGATACGAAGATGCTAGCTTGGGACAATTCCGACATCATTCAAATAGAAAATAAAAAAACCGGCGTTTTTGACTTACTGATATCATATTCGCAAATAAATGTTCTTTTGGAATCGCATGGCATGTCTTTGAATAGACCCTGCGTCCCAGCAGGGTAATTCTTCGCCATAGCAGCGCATTTTCCATCCTGGTTAGGCTCTCCGACTGTTTTCTGCCATTTATCAATCCTAAGCAACGGCCCACTTTTCCATTGCCATTCTCCATGGTCCTTCCTCAGGCCAATCCACCACTCGTTTTCGCTGAAGTTCCTCGTTTGGATTTTTGAGTTGACAAATTCCCATTCTCTCTGCGTTTCTATAGATACGAGGTTGCCTTGAGTTTGAATACATAGTTCTTGAGCTAGGTTCCATGATTTTCTCTTCCGTGCAAAGAAAGTGTAGCAAGAGCAATTGCTCGCTGAAGAAAATATGAAATGATATCTGAATTAGTTATT